AGCTATCCCTTGGAGGAGGCCTTTACCGAGGTCCACAATACTCCTTCGCCTAGCACGATAGCGCATTGCAGGTCGTAGATCTCATTGGATGTTGTAATTATCTCCCTCTGTTCTCCCAAAGCCGAAAATCGGTTGGGATCGAGGCTGATGGCATCCGCAAATTTTTCCAACTCGCTCTCGGATGGCCAGCGTGCAGGAGGCAACGCAAGAGGAGGGAGCAACGTACAACCAGCTACTGCCGTGGGAGTGTCGTGGCCTGCTCGCGAAGCAGCTCCCGTCGGCCCAGGTAGGCTGGTTTGCCCGTCTGCCATTGCAGTTATATAGCGCCTGCGTCGGAGCGCCGATTCGACTGCCCTCTTCAGGGCTGGACCCACGTGGGCGCTGGCTCGCTCATTTCCCTCTCCTCCAGGATGGCTCCCAACGAAGTGGGATGCGGTTTTCTTCGGCTGCCTGTCCATTTTTTCGTGGACAAGCACGTTAAATCGCGCTAGGCCCCGACGTCTTGCCAGAAGGAAATGTCCATGGAAAGAAATGCGCGTGAAATCGTGCTAATACCCGGCACTGGGTCGGGGCTGAGGCTGTACTGGATCTTGCCCATCCTGCCCCCCTCGTCGTCGTCCTCCATCTTGTAGGTCTCGTTCACCTTGAAGCTGCTCTGGAAGATCTCCTGAATCATGATCGGTCCGTACTTGTTCGCCGTGCTGTCGATGAAATGTCTCAGGATGGCCTTGCGCTGCTTCCCCACCTCTCCGCCGTTGACCCCGTCCATCGAGTCGTGGATCTCGTGGATGACCTCGAACGCCACGTGTGGGCGAGGCGGGCCTAGTCCATGCTTCTTGCCGGGAAAGCGGACCTCCGCCGCGTACTTCTTGGTTGATGTCAGTCCTGCCTGGGACGGCTTGGCCTGGGATGGGATCAGCCAGACACCGCTCGTCGCGTGCATCACCTTCCTCATATCTTGGGCGTTTCGCAGGGCGAGCCTTATCGTGACATTCAGCCTGTCGTTGTCGTGGTCGTAGTCGTCGGCGTTGTGGTTGCCTCGTGGCGGTGGGCGTCCTCCTCCTCCTACGTTGCTTGCGGCTGCTCCCGGTGACGGGCGGTCCTCGCGCGCGCTTCCAAGCTCGGAGACTGGGCCACGCTTGCTTCCGATCTTCCACTTGGCCCTCGGCACTGGCACCGCCATCGTGAGCTCGTTCCCTGATCGAGTGGGGGCCTTCGAGATGTGTGCGCACGTGGTGCTGTGATGAGAGTACGTCTTGAGCCTCATGTCCACAGCTGCCGCACCCTAGTGCATCGGGTTCCAGCAGCTCGTGGGCCCATTTACTGTGCTCGACATAGCACGTACCGTGACGCTTGACCGATCTGTGGCAGTGCTCGATGGTGGTCTTCCTGTTGTTGAAGACGCTCAAGCATCAAGGGTACTGTTTCGTAATGATTTGCTGCGTTAAAGCCGCACGTACGTTATGCCCCGCGTTTGTGTGCCTGCAGGGCCTGTGCTGTCTGGAATTGTTTCCCGTAAGCCCTCTCTCCTCCTTTCTCGTCTACGCAAAGATGGTCGCACCAGAATGGGCGCTTCAGGATCTCCTCCGCCGCCTGCGCTCCCTCCTCCTCCTCCCTGCCTCCTCTCTGTGCAGCACTACGCAAGATGCTCGTGTCTGCGCATGTCCATTGCTGCCGCTCGTCCGTCCCTGGAGTAAGGATGGCATGATCAGATGATCGCCTTGTGTACCATGCCTGCATATTTTCATCGATGGAAGCAAGCTCATCCAGATTCTGTCTGAACTGTTTAGCCATCGGTGTAGAGTACGGTCCCACCCAGTACCCAGGGAGTTGTCGTTTCACACCCGCAATACGGCCCATCCTACTTCGCCAAAAAAACGGCCGCAATAGCATTGCCGTTTGCCTGAGGATATTTGGCCCACTGTCGGTACCATTTCAGTCGTGCTCTCAGCGGTACCTCCGGGTTCCCAAGACGCCATTCTCGAACTATTCTCGCTGTGCTGTAGCATCGTACCGAGCCGTCCTCCCTAGTCCACGACATGCGCCCTCTCGCCAAAGTCCTGCGGCATTTCCCAAACAGGGCATCTAGCACATCGGTTTTGGGCTTTGCTAAGTGCCATGCAGGTCAGATCGCTCAAGCCAGCTCCAAAGACGACTGCTATGAACATCGTGCGCTTTACTGCAAACGTGGTATCGGAACTCCAGAACGTGCCCTGTGGCGCCACGCCAACCTAATGGCATCGCAGCGCCTCCTAGCTTCTCCTGAGAGACCTTGATCGGATGGCAGGTATGGGCCAATCACCCTCATCTCTCTCAGTGGGATGCCTTTACGGTTTGGTGTTCCGTCCCAGCTTCCGCGTGCAATTGTAATTGCCCTGCCCCCGCAAACGCAGTAAGTTTTTTTTGGTTGTTTTCAAACTAAAGAAATTATTAGTATTACCATTATTATTATTACTCTTATTATTGGTATTATTACGATTATTATTAGTATTATTATTATTATTACTATTTTTTATTATCATTATTATCATTATTATTATTATTATTAGTAGTAGTATGAGTATCTTATTGTTATTGTTATTATTATTATTATCATTATTTTTATTTCTATTTAGTTATGTAATAATTATTCTTATTGTGTATTTAATCGCTTTGCTTATTCCCCCGGCCCTGTAGCCCTCTTTAGGGCCTCTTGGGGGCCTCTTGGGGACCTCTTGGGAGTCTCTTGGGGCTCCTTGGCGGCGTCTTGGGGGCCCCCAGGGCCTCTTGGGGGGCTCTTGTGGGCCTCTTGGGGCGGGAGGGGGGGCAGTCGATTGCGGCTCCCCCCTCAGAGGACAGGATCCTCGTGAGAGGTGTCGAAAAATTGCCCGGTCCGGGGTCTCCTCCCGGGACTTGCCCGGGGTACTTTTCGCCCGGGGACCCCCAGGGGCCGCCCCGCGCGCGCGAACTAGAAATATTGTTAACCAGTTACCGGAGCTCTGGCCCGTCGGGCCGGCGATTTTTTTGTGGTTGTTGTGGGGTTGAGCTTCAGCTACCCTTGGCCAGTGTGCTATCTAGCTCTGCAGTGGCCTCGTTAAGTTGGGCTGTCACGTGTGTCTCTGTGGCTCCAACAGGAATAATGTGCGCCTTGGTAATGTCGTCCGTGAACGTGTTTAGGCCTAAGTCGTGCACAACGCCTGTGATGGAATGTGGTATGTCGTGATATCTTTGATGCAGGTCGTTTCGTAGTTCCTCGTTCCATTTTTTGACGTAGATATTGTACCCATCATTGAATGGTCTCGGCGCACGGGTCAGCCCCATATGTGCTCCTCACATAGCCTCCATCGTCACTTCTCCTGTATGCGTCTCGACCGTCATCGCCGTCGTATCAATAGCCCCTACAGAGCGTAATTGGTCCCATTCGCCTGTTTGTTTAAAGGTGACGGCCTACAGCATACTTTTGTGCGTAGAAGCGAACGCGTTGGAGCAGCCATAGTTTGTCAATATCGAACTGTACCCTAGTTGCTCAGCCTTCCATTTTGTCGTCAGTGTAGTGGCTAGAGCGCTTTCCCTGCACCTATGTGGTACCCCTCCTGCGCCCAAGCCTCGTGTTGGAATGGTGTGCCGCATCTGTGTATGCCAGGGTGCCACGCCATGCCCGCGCTACAGTCTGCATGCCAGTATGCAAGCATGATGCGCTTGCCAAGGGCGCCCTGTTTCCCGTCGTTCCACAAGCTCCAAAGACATGCTATCTGTGCCAACTCAGTGGTGTCGTCTGCGTACTCCTGCACATAAAGCAGTATGTCCATGAGCCGTCGTGCAGCTGTGCGGCTGCCCGTCGCGCAAGGAAGTACCCCCAGTCCTGCCTTACCCCCCCTCCAGGGGAGAGTAGTCGTTGGTGAGGTTGGCTGGGTTCGTCGGCACACCTCCTCTCCTCCCTAGTCCTCCTCCTGTCCAGCCTAGGCGCTCCAGCAACTCCCTCCCCTTTTCAATCGATGCTCTACTGCATGACGTGCTGCCCCCTCCTCGCTGCCCTCCGTTCTGCTGGCCCTCGCCTGCTCTCTCGTGTCGGTCGGACCGCCTAGGTAGATAGCATGGTCGAGCAACAGCTAGGTGACCTCGACTGGGAGCCCCCAAGCTGGCCACGCTCTCCTCGTGTTGCCTTCCTGCAGTAGCGTAGCATAGCAGCATGCTTGTCTGCGGCCCCGCATCGCAGTTCTTTGTGGATAGGTAGGGGGCGCCTGGTAGAGTCATGAGCCTCTCCGTCGCTGAGCTGTTGGTCGAGATTGATAACGTGGGCACTCAACCCTTCTTCATGCGGGTTCTTCGCTAGCTCTGAAATCCACTGTTCCGCCGACCAGCGCGTACGGGGGGTCGAAGAAGCACCGTCGTTTGGATCCTCGTCCATTCGCCTGGTACTGGATGCGAGGTCTATGCATCTCCGCAAAATCACCTGTTCTTTTCCGGAGGCTTCCCAGATTTCCTCGACCAGCCTCTGCGGGATTTCTCATAGCCTTCTCGCAGCTTCTTCAGCACACTCGTAACCTCCTGCAGCTGCTGCTTAACGTGTTCCAGCTCATCGTCGGTAGTGTCGGGGCCTAGCTCTTGTCTGAGAGTTCGAAGCGTTGCGCCTGGAGCGCTTGGCAGCAGGGGTCGGACCGCTTGTGCTGCTCTCCAAACACTCTGTGGGTAGCCATGCGTACTGCATCGCTGTACCGCTGCCACGCTCGGTCGGGTTTCGGTCCGTCTGTCAGCTCCCTCAACTCCTTCCCCCATCTTACCAGGCTCCTCTTTGATCCAGTCGTACAGCATCTTTCGCCCGGCTGCGAGGGGCATGTCTAGCGCGAGCATCGAGAACGAGACCGACAGGTACGTGATCTCTTGACCCCCTTAGCTTTGATGAGCTGTAGCCGTTTGCCACTGGTGTGCAATGCAAACCATCGTTGGATGAGAGGTGCGGCCCCTGTTGGCACAGCGAAGCGATCTACTCTGCTCGTTCCCCCTTTTCGGTCGTAGAACGTAGGGCCACGTAGCAATCACAAAGTCGCTAGTCTGGCAGAAGATGCGAAAGTGCAATCCGTTCTCGTGTTGAACATGTTAGCGCGCTGCCCCAGACTGCTCATGATTGTCTTCTGTATGGTTCCGTCGCTGGCACGGTGTAGCCCGAAATCCGAGTTGCTGTCTCCCCCTATTGCTACCATTGCACGCGCTACGAGTCCGTCCGTTGTCCCCTCCAGCCAGTTACTGATCCGTCTCACTATCTCCGAGCAGTTCTTCACATGTGTCGGCGCATCGTACGCTGAGAAGAATGCGATGTCTCTCGTGGGTAAGGCAGGCCTGATTCCCCAAGCCCTTCCCTGAAATGCTCCAGGCGGCTGGTATATTTCCCTAAGACATGACCGTGGGTGCTTCTTGTGTACTAGGATGGCCACACCGCATGCTTTGGTCGCGGATCTCCCCTTTCTAGCCCCCCATACGTAGACACCAGTGGTTGGGCAATTGCACGTATCTCACAGGGTCACTGTTCGTGACTTCTGCCGTGACGCACACAAGTATGACGTCCCATGCCCGTAGTTCTGCACTGGTAGCCATGCGCCGCTCAACCGTGCTTGCCGATAGCGGGCTGCACGAGACAGTGCGCATCGCGTGCGCGTGTGATGGAGAAAGTATTACCCGCCTTGCCCTCACCTGGCCGAGACGAGAGGGGATGCGCCGAGAGGAGGTACAGTATGCATGCTGGTGGCGGCCGAGCAAGCTCCTGAATCCCTCACGGCGGCTAGGAGGAGGAGGAGGAGGAGGAGGAGGAGGAGGAGGAGGAGGAGGAGGACGAGGAGGAGGAGGAGGAGGAGGAGGAGGAGGACGAGGACGAGGGAGGAGGAGTGGAGGAGGAGGAGGAGGAGGAGAGGAGGAGGAGGAGGAGGAGGGAGGACGAGGAGAGGACGAGGAGAAGGGAGGAGGAGGAGGAGGAGGAGGAGGAGGAGGAGGAGGAGGAGGAGGAGGAGGAGGAGGAGGAGGACGAGGAGAAGGGGGACGAGGAGGAGGAGGAGGAGGAGGAGGAGGTCACCTGTTCTGATCGCTGAAGGTCGCTGAAGGAGCCGCCCCATCGTCCGCCGCAGAGCAGCGCTCGATGCGCTCTGCCTCCCCGCCGCCACAGGCCCTGCACGACGAGGCCCTGCCCGTCCGCCAGGCCGTGGCGCGCATCATGGGCCGCCTGGAGCGCCACAACCCCTCGCACGCGGACTGGGCTCGCAATGAGGGCCAACGTTTTGGGGGGCTCTGGGCGTTTTCGTCGATTCCCGGCGCTTTCCCAGCCTCTGGGCACCTTCCGGCAGGAGCGCCTCGCCGACGGCGTGTTCCCTGGAGCGCCCCGAGCGTCCCGAGCGGCCGCGGGAGTGCCGAGTGATGACCCGAGGGCCAGGCGGCAACGCTGGGGGGGACAGGCTCAGCGGGGGATGCATCGGCCCTCCGTGTCCCTCTGATTGCCGAGAGGGGGCTCGATAGCCCACCCCGCCCAGACGGGTGGGGTTCTGCTGTCGAGGCCTCATCGCTAATCTATCGGCGATGTATCGCCGATTCCAGCTCGATGTCTCTCCCCTGAGCTGGTCCCCCTTTGCCGTTGCCCCTCAGCGAGGGAGTCGAGGATCGTATAACGCCAACCATGCACACCAGCTCCGATCCCTGGCAGGCCAACCCTGGGCCCAGCATCGGTGAATCCGCCCTCCTGCCTGACTCGGCCAGGGAGGCGTAACTGGCCACGATCGGTGTGGGTGTAGAGTTTCCGTCCTCCTGCATCAGGGAGGGGAGGAGACCGAGGATCGAGGATCGAGGTTTGGAGCGTTTTTGGCCCTCGTGGGCCTCTGGAGGCTCCGGGAGGGCGATCGAGCATTCTCGGGCGGGTAACGCCGGGATGCCGCTCAGGCGCGTACTCTTGTATCACGGTTTCTGGTGGGCCCCGTGTCATGGTTGCCCGCCGCATTCGGTTTCCGTGTTGCCCGCTGCTCGTGGTGAAGCGCGGGGATGAGGATTGGGGCTCATGAAGCTCGTGCTTCAGGTGGCGCCCGCCAGCATTCAAAGCAGATGCCAGGTACATGTCTGCAGGCGTACGTGTATGGACGTAGATTCGAGTGAACCAAGAAAATTGGCAGCATGGAAAGAAGCAAATGAGCTCGACAGCACTTTAAGCCAGAATCTCAGGCCGCAAGAACGGAACTCTATGAGGACAGTCCGCCCGGAACGGGCCTCCTCTTCCTCCTCCTCCTCCTCTCACGCCTCCTCCTGCTCCTGCTCCTGCTGCTCCTCCTCCTCGCGTCATGGGGAAGCGATAAATTGGGGGCAACGAGGGTTGCAGAAAATGGGCGCTCTAGGGCCAGAAACTTATATCTTCCCCATTTACCGCCCCCCATACAACGACGCTCAACTTCTCCTCCTCCTCCTTCTCCTCCTCCTTCTCCTCCTCTTGCTTGCGTTGGGTGCCTCTCGCCCTCCCTGCTCCTCCTCCTCCTCCTCCTCCTCCTCCTCCTCCTCCGCGTCCGCCTCCTCCTCCTCCTCCTCCTCCTCCTCCTCCTCCTCGTCCTCCTCCTCCTCCTCCTCATCATCATCATCCGTCTCCTCCCTCTCCTCCTCCTCCTCCTCCTCTCTCCTCCTCCTCCTCCTCCTCTCCTCCTCCTCCTCCTCCTCCTCCTCCTCCTCCTCCTCCTCTTCCCTTCCTCCTTCTCGTCGTGGCACGTGCGCACCTCCTCCGCACCCTCCTGCTCTCTCCTCCCTCTGCTCCTCCCAGGTGAACAGGTGAACAGGTGAAACCGCAGTCATGCATGCACGACTGCGATAGTAAGGGAATAAAAAGCATCACCTCATCCAGGGAGGCTGCTGTGGCTGCTCGAACCTCGCTGACTTGCACTCTAACTCTATCCCAGATCGTCCCCTGCTGGTACCCCCTTAGATTCCCGAGTGCACTTACTGGGCATGAGAACAGCTACACTTTGTTGTGGCATGGCGGGGCTCTCCGATGTCTGCCCTCATGCCCAGATGAACGACGCATCGAAAATGGCACGAAATTCGACTCCCGAATTCGGTACGCTTATGGGTGGACCGGTGCACCAGAAGCGGAAGAGAGCCGTAGCGGTCCAGACCGTTACGGCCAGAACCGTGAACCTCTGTACCACCCTGAACCACCCAGCCCCGTGTCAGTACCCACCCCCTCCCGCCTCCGTTCATGCTCTGGATGGCTGGGGAGGCCACTGTGACGCGAAAACGAATGTCACGGTGTAGGTGTGTGTGCGTGTGTGTGTGTGTGTCTGTGTGGAAAAACGACGCCTTTTGAGTGCTGATTCCTAAAACGCGGATGCCGCCACACAGTCCCCCCCTACTTGCCCCTCCCCCTCCCCCTGTCGTCCTGAAATGGGTACGCCCGAGACGGCGGGGAGGAGGTGGGAGGAGTGGAGAAGAGGGGACAAGCCAGACGAAGCAAATTACGTGATGGGCACAGGCCGGGCTATCTCTGTGCCTCGGCTGCCTGGTAATTCGAGCTTGCGGAGCTTACGAAGCTCGCTACTTAATTCATGCTGGCACCGTTTTGACAGTTTTTTGTTGCGCGAGCCTGTGCTGAACCCTCCACAAGCGTTGCAGAAGACAACGGGCAAGCCTGAACCAATGACGTGCGACTGCATGAGCACATGCTTCTGCGCTGTGGCTGTATCCACTATGTCAAACAGTGCTGCAGGCAACTCTTTGCATTTGGTTTTGGTGCGGGGTGTCACCCTCATGAGACAGAGGCGGCACTTACAGGAGCTGCATGTCCACACAGGCTGGTGTGACGCAATGAAAGGCCTTGGTGCTCTTTCCCTGGGTACTTTGTCCAAGGAGGGCCAAACCTCTGAATTTGGTGGCCACAGTCCTAACACTTTGCCGGCGAAGGACAAGAGTGCTTCATAGAAGCTCACTGCATGCACCTGCTCATCAACTACGTGCTGGGATAGCGCCTGACTGGCTGCGGCTTGACCGGCGTGCCAGTTGGCGGAACGATTTCCTAGCATGTGCCAGGCGTCTTCGGCCGAGATGGCCTGGGAATCGTCCCTGTGCGCTTTGATTTTAAAAAGGGTAGGCCAACTGTCTGCTGGGACGGCATTGGCGAGCTCTCGCCAGTACCTCGCGAACTCTGTTTTGCATGAGAGCGCGGAGGCTGGGGAGGAGCCTACAAACAAAGACTGACAGTCCACCACGATCGGGGCTGTCCTGGGTTGTTCTGACCGCACATTGGCCAGCACTAGGCTTGCATGCTCCGCATGCGCCGGGGTTTGGTCGAGAGTAGCAGGGAGCGCAGCTCGAATGCAGTGGCTGATGCTGCCTTGCTCCGTAAGCTGCACCAGTGAAACTCCCCCCCTGCTGATATGCAGGGTGCTGGGGTTGAGTACGCTGCCATCGGTGTAGATGGGCTCGTCGCCCTTGAATTTTGCAGGCTCTGCGGGGCCATCGGCCGACAGATGCTCAAACTCCCAGTGGGGCTCGGGCGGGTCGAGTAATGGTCGGCACGCCCAAAGTCTGGAAAAGAAAAGGTCATTTGGGCCCCGCCTCAAAGCTTCTTCAGCGAGTTCTGGGGCCAGAGTTTCACGTACTTCACGTCCATGGATGCACTCCCAGATGCGGTGGAACGTGGTGTCGGGCCTGCCGCAGTAGATGCAGGTGCCGTCATGGTCGAACCCCCATTGTTGAAGACGAGAACCCGTGACATGACATCCACAAAAAACTGCGCGCACCTGCTGGATCTCGTAGGGGGTGAGGTCCTTGGACGCTTTGGCGATCCCTTTCGAAAAAGCCTCCCACCAGAAGCCGTCATCCTTGAAACTGCTCCTCCCCCCCTCTCTCCTCCCTCTGCTCCTCCCGTCCCTCCCTCTGCTCCTCCCTCTGCTCATCCCTTTGCTCCTCCCTCGTGCCGGCCTCCCTCGTGCCGGCCTCGTCGTCGTGCAGCAGTTGGTCCCCTCCGAGGTGGTGCCCGCGCTGCGGAGGCTTCTGCTCAGGCTCATGACCGAGCTCGCGCACGCCGCCGAGCCGCGGCTCGAGGAACGTGGGAGGGTGTTCTGCTCCCCCTCCTCCTCCTCTCATTTGCCAACCCCGCTCCTCTCATCTCCCAACTCCTCTTCCTGCCCCTCTTCCTCCTGCTCCTCCTCGTTGTCCTCCTCCACAGCCCCGACCTCGTCCTTGTCAACACCCTCCTCCCCATTGTTCTCAACATCGCCCTCCCCCTTCTCCTCTCCCTCCTCCTCGTCCTCCTCCCTCTCCTACTTCTCATTCTACTCCTTCCCGTCCTCCTCCTCACGGAGGAGAAGGAGGGAGGGAGGAGGAGGAGGTGGAGGAGGAGTAGGTGAGGAGCACAGGAGAAGAAGGTGAGGAGCACAGGAGAAGGAGGTGAGGAGCACAGGAGAAGGAGGAGGAGGAGGAGGAGTAGGAGGAGCAGGAGCAGGGTGAGCAGGACGAGGACCAGAGTAAGCCCGAGATGTGTCCTCGATGCTGCGATACGCACCCCCGCCCTTTGTTCCCTCCGCAGGAGTGCTGGCAGGTTTTTTATTCGCGGTGTAGGTGCAGGAAGCCCCCCCCTCGAAGGGCGAGTGCCTCACGGACCTGCCGTCCGGGCGAGCACCCAGTGTTGAGAGGGAGCTGCCTCACATCCACCTGGCGTGAAGTCGGGCCTGTCCCTCTACAGGAAGAGTCTTCAAACATGGACGATTGTTTGACATTTTTGACTACTTTTGGGCATTTGTTTGACAAGTGTTTAAGAGACTATTTTGGGGCATTTTTTGACCGTTCTTGTTTCGTCCAAAATCCGCATGTACGAGGACACGCCCGACCTAAATCTAGCGACGGAGAAGATGCGCTGGCCACTACACTTGGAGGAAGTCTCGTGCGAGGGTTTGATGTCGATAAGGAGCCGACGTTCGTTCAGCTGCTACATCGGTTCAGCATCCAGGTCGTTGACTTTGTGGAAGGCTCGAGCGAAAGCTCCGTTCTGAAAAGGAGCTGCCCTCCATCCGTGAACCTGTTGCACAGTATCCACTCTTGTTGTCTCCCTGGAAGTGCAGGCGATATTCATCCGGTGAGAACCGCCGGGCCTCCATGTGTAATTGCTGCGAGGTCTGAACAACGAATGCTGGCGGTGCTAAGGTGAGAGCCCATTTTGGAAAGGTACTTGCCTCCATCCGCGTAGTTGTTGTGTTGCAGCATCAGGGTCGTCTATGGTAAGACAGTCCGAGCGGAACGCCTGGGCCGGCATGCGTAGACGGTTGGTGATGCGTCTGGCAAGAATTACGTATCAGGAAGCGTATGGATGTTGATGTTGTTATTGTTGTTGCTGTTGCTGCTAACACTGCTGCTGCTGATGGTGATGATGATGCTGGTAGTGATGCTTATGCTGTTGATGATGATGTTGATGATGATGAGGATGATGAGGATGATGATGATGATGCCGATGACGATGACGATGCTGATGATGATGATGATGATGATGATGCTGATGCTGATGCTGATGATGATGATGATCATGCTCATGCTGATGACGATGATGATGCAGATGCTGATAATGACGATGATGATGACGCTGACGTTGATTATTATGATGATGACGATGCTGATGATGGTGATGATGATGATGATGATGCTGACGGTGGTGATGCTGCTCATGCTGATGCTGCTGCGGCTGCTGCTGTTGTTGATGATGACGATGATGACGATGGTGATGATGACGATGATGATGATGATGATGATGATGATGACGATGGTGATGATGGTTGCGATGATGATGATGGTGATGATGTTAATGCTGATGATGCGGATGATGGCGACGAGGACGATGACGATGCTGACGACGATGGCGATGATGATTCTGATTTTGATGATGATCATGCTGATGATGACGCGGACGATCATGATTATGCTGAGTATGCTGATGATGATGGTGCGGCAGCTGCTGATGATGCTGATAACGATGCTGATGATAATGATGATGATGATGATGATGATGATGATGATGATGATGATGATGATGCTGGTGGTGATGCTGCTGATGATGCTGATGATGCTGATGATGATGGCGACGATTATGATGATGCTGATGATGACGATGATGCTGATGCTGATGATGATGCTGATGATGATGATGCTGATGATGCTGATGATTGTGGTGCTGCTGCTGGTGATGATGATGATGCTGATGCCGATGCTGATGCTGATGCTGAAGCTGATGATGATGATGATGATGATGATGATGCTGATGCTGATGATGATGATGATGATGATGATGATGATGATGATGATGATGATGATGATGATGATATGATGAGGATGATGATGATGATGATGATGATGATGAGGATGATGATGATGGTGGTGAGGATGAGGATGACGATGATGCTGGTGATGCTGATGATGATGGTCATTTTGATTGTGATGGTGATGGCGATGGTGATGATGCCGCCGCCGCCGCCGCCGAGGAGGAGGAGGAGAGGAGGAGGAGGAGGAGAGACAGGAGGAGGAGAGGAGGAGGAGGGAGGAGAGGAGGAGGGAGGAGTGGAGGAGGAGGAGGAGGAGGAGGAGGAGGAGGAGGAGGAGGAGAGACAGGAGGAGGAGGAAGATGAAGAGGAGGCGGAGGAGGAGGAGGAGGAGGCGGAGGAGGAGGAGGAGGAGGAGGAGGTGGTGGAGGATCGAGTGCATCGAGCGGATCGAATCGGTACTCGATGCCCCACGGAATTGCGCCAAGGGCCACCTGGCCGCATCGGGCCGTCCCCGCGCCGCGCGAGGCAAACTGGAAGTAGATTTCTCTCACTCCCGAAGTTCTCGCACGAGCTGATCTCTGCCCCGAACTTCTAGCACGAGCTGATCTCTGCACTGTTACTGAGAGTGGCCCATCCGAGGCCATCCGATATTGGGTTCCAGCTTCGCCCCCCGCTTCTCACAAGAGGCTTGCCACTGAGCTCCCGATGAATTGCAACCCTGCCTTGCACGGCTGCTGCCCGGGCCCTGAAGGGCATACCGAATCCGTAGCTGATAACGTGTGGCTCCCAACAAATTCCGAAGCCGTAGATGAGCACGTGGTGTTCCAGCTACATCCCCTGAGAGCAATGCGGGCCTGCTCGCAATTTCGCACCAGGATCTCACCTCTGCACTGCCGACCTTCGTACACGCGCTGATCCAAGAACTGTACCTGAAGACGTCCGCTCCTGCACTTCCGCCTTCTCGCGTTGCCACAGCCTGCTGCCACTGCGTGCCTTGCCCTTCTCGCATTGCCATCGCCTTCTGCCACTTCCTGCCTTCGCGCACTAGCTGAACCCCGAACTGTAACTCAGGACGTCCGCTCCTGCACTTCCGCCTTCTGGCAGTGCCAGAACTTGCTGCCACTGCGCGCCCGTCTCGTATTGCCAATTCTTGCTGCCATTGTGTGCCTCCACACACAAGCTGATCCCCGCTTTGCAGCTGGTGATGTTCGCTCCTGCACGCTTGTCGCAGTACCGGTGCCTGCTGCCACTGCTCGCCTTGTCGCTATCGGGGCCTTCAGCTTCCCGCGCGGAGTCGGATGTAGCTGATGGCATCGGGCTCGACCTTCGCCTTTTCTCGATGCGTCGGGCACCAGCTTCGCCTCCAGCTCTTTCGCATGAGGAGATTGGTGTGGCTCCAACTTCACCTTGCCCCGATCCCAGCGTTGTAGCTCATGGCATCTGGCTCGTCCTTCATCGGCCTCCCTCTTCACCGCTGTCTTTGTACATCGCTGGCTTTGTACTTCGTCGTCTGACGGCATTGGGCCCGTTTTTCACCTTCGCACAGCGCAAGCGCCCGCTGCCACTGCCTGCCTTCTTGCTCGCACGGGCTGCTCCCAGCGAGGTTGCTGATCGTGGCCCTCGCAGCGCCAGCGTCTGCTGCCGCTGCGTGCCCCCTGTCTCGCACGGGCTGCTCCCAGCGTTTCTGCTGATCGTGGCCCACACGCGCTTGCCTCGCAGCGCCAGCGTCTGCTGCCACTGCGCGCTCCCTTTCTCGTACGGGCTGCTACCAGCGTTGCCGCTGATCGCGGCCCACCCGCGTTTTTGCAGCTCTCGCAGCGCCAGCACCAGATGCCACTCCTTGCCTCCTCGCACGGCCTGTTCCCTACACCTGTAGCTGTTCACGACCCTGTCTTGCCTGCACTTCCGCCGCGGCGCTCCAGGAGGCCGGCGCTGCAGCTCGCCAGACTGACGAGGGGAGCGGGAAAGAGGAGGAGAAAGGCGACGAGGGGAAACAGGGGAGGGCGGAGGGAGCCCAGTATCCTGGCAGGTGCGCTCGCGCCTGCTCTCAGCCTTAGTTGTTCTCAAAAACGCTGGGGGCGTGTTTTTTCCGTTTTCAACTTCTGGCGTTGCGGTCGGCCAAAACAGAACAAAAACGGTAACGCAAAACGTGCCCAAAACGATGTGACCAGGACCAAAACGTAACAAAAACGGCGGGCGAAAACGCACACAAAACGGAGAACCAAAACAGAAAAAAACGGCACAAAAACGGCACGGGCCGCGACGAAAACGTACAGAATACGGCAGGTGAAAACGATTAAAAAACGGATCGCAAAACGAACCGAACACGGCAAGGCGCAAATCCAAACCAGAAAAAAAACGGCTCCCAAAACAGAAAAAAAAACGTCGATCTCCAAAACGGAAAAAAAAACGTCCCCAGCGTTTTTAAGATCATCTAAGTAAGCTCTCAGCACTGTAGCTGATGACGTGGGGCGCCACCCTTCTCGATGTCGGCACTCGCGAGCAGGGTCATGTCGAAGTTTGCCCCAGAAACACACTTGCGCGCCCCGTGCAGGGGGGGGGGGGCGCTCGGAGGATGATGAGGAGGAGAGACAGGAGGAGGATGAACAGGAGGAGGAGGAGGAGGAGGAGGACGAGGAGGAAATGGGGCCGAGGGGGAGGAGTCGGGGAGGGGGAGGATGTCTCCTCGTCCTCATCCTCGCCGTTATCGCCATCGTCGTCATTCTACTTCTCCTGCTGCTGCTCCTTCTCCTCCATCCTC